CCAGAAGGAGAAAAAATTTTGCAAAAAAATTTGAAAGTATACCTAACCCATAGCTAGGTACCATCAGTTAAAAAATTAGCCAAATTTGAGATGTTGGGTGTCATGTCCTCAGTAATTTAACATGGAATGACCCAGAAACACAATGCTCAGCATGAAACCTTGACATCAGAAGGAGGGAAAACAACATACGGCAAATGATTTAAGGACACTAACACAATGTTAAATAATAAAATTTAAAATTTGTTGGACGTATAAGAAATCTTTTATAGATAAACACTACACACAAATTCAACAAACTGAATTTACATATGTAATAGACCACTTCATTGTTGTATTTTATTCCTTTTTAAATTATTATCATTTATCAGTTTCAAAAACTATAGAACTATGCATTAATAATATATCACTTTAAAAATTTGGAAGATAGCAAATTTTGATTTAAGTCTGATGAAGAAAGAATGTTTGGGATAAAATTGTTAACATAAAAAAACATTTTGTGCTGATTATTTGCCAGGGTTAAAAACTGAAAATACAAGAATGTTTTTAATACAAGTTTTGATTGTAAAAACAGAACTTAAAAACATCTTTAGCCAATATATTTCTGAATATTGTGTCCAGCCTATGAAAATGATTTAGATTTACTAGAAAATGTACCGAGAAGAATTACTAAAATAGTTTTGTCAGAACAATTCAAATTATGTAGCCATTTAAGCAATTTTGAAACAGTTCATTAGCAATGCCCTTCAAGTATACTCTCTCTCTCTCTCTCTCATATGTCTACACTTTCTTTAAAGCAAGAATTTCATTTATTATTACACCATTATAAGACTGTTCATAAAGTGAGATCACTATTAATTATTATTCAATTCTTATACTACAATTATAGAAATATTTCTTATAATAAAGAATTTTAGATGCATTTTAGCAAAAGATTGTGTGTGTGTGTGTGTGTGTGTGTGTGTGTACACACACTCTCACACAGTCACACCAAAAATCACTCAAGTTATTAAACACAATACGAAAAGAAACTTAGACCTCACAGACTAACTACTGCTAAACTACTCATAAGTTAGTTGTCATTTCAGCTTCAGCAGCAACTTTACCTAGGATTTATCTTACAAATACATATAGCAGTATGTGTTTAAAGACTAAAGATATAATCTTCACATTTCTCTTTACTTCCAAGTCTAACAGCCCATTTGAAATTAAACAAGGTATTTTTGCAGACTCTGAGCAGATTTGTGTTCATTCACTCATGGTTATGGCATATTCATGTAAAAAATTTCCAAAAATATAACAATTGTAGCAACTGTTATTTTTCAAACCTAGTAGTGCATAAATCACAATATAACACTTCTAACACTAACAGTTGTTATATTGTGATTTAAAACATTGAAATTATTTTAACTCATTGTATTTATGGTAAATAATTAACTTAAATTTGATGATGCATTAACTTAAAGTCTTGGGTGTTGCTACTGCTAGTTCAGCTGTGACTGTATGAAGATATTTCTGATTTACAAAAAGGTTTAAGATTTGGTGAATTGGCCAAATAAATGACCTAACCAGTAACCTATACAATAATTTTTTTGGCTGACCAACCAAAACACAAACATCCTTTTTTATTCCATAACAGTGAATACTAAATTAACATATCACGCCGTTTTAACGCTGTAGTACTAGTTTTACTATTAGTGTTAAAGTTATTCCTTTAAAATTATAACTTATTTATAAATATAACTTAAGACTATCTTGCACCACATATTATATAATTAAAATCCATCTGACATTTTAAATACAATGACTCATTTTTAAAATATATTTATTCAAAATAGTTAATGTTTATTTAGAAGTATTTGAAACTTTTAAAATGACAGAAACTAAGTTCAACAATTACTGATAATGTTATAAGCAATCTTGTTGAAGTTTTAACCACGTGGCTAAACTACACCGGTAATTTGGCGCGCTATGCTATTACTAACACTCTAACTAAACTAGTCTAAGAAGAAATCTGTTTCTATCCTTACCATTTATAACACCCTCCTTCTGTTACTTCTAAACTATAATTTGTAGGAATATCTAAGTTGTAAGGTAATAAAACTCGCGGCACATTTAACTTAGAAGAGTTATTTTTACCTATAAGAACTATAAAAATTGTTACAATAGCCACATAAGTTAACGCCATCTTTCAATGCAGGTCGACTACCTCGTAATTCTGTTTTTAAATATTTTATAACTGCCCTCTATAGCCTATGCACTCTGTATAAAAGGGACATTATTATAAATTTAATTAATTGTTTTGTAATTATAACAAATGTTTTAAAAAACTCGGCAAGGAAATTCTACGAAGTTATGAGTGAAAGCAAAGAAGAATAGGTAATATCATTTTAACCACACAATATCTGTAATATCCTGTGCCGACGGAGCCTTTCTCCATATACACAAGGCAAATCGTTGTGTTTTCGGATGATATTATTGTTACGTCTCCGTTCGTTCGTTAATTAATTTTCCGTAAATCCGTTCCAACGAAACTTTAGCGACACAAGTTCTTTCTTAAATAAACTGGTTTATTCTTTCCGAATACAACTTTACCGATACACTTAGTTTCAACAGTTGCTCAATAATCAAACGCTATAACTCGCGTCTCACGTGGCCAACAATATTTTGTCCGCAAACATTCAATTACTCATTACCTCTGTTGTCCCGTCACGTTGTGAACGTCTTATATATACCAGACTACCCCCCAATCCAGTAGTCTCCCGATAATTCATGAACGTTCGAGAAGGACGTGGCGTGATATT